AAAACCTAAGAAACCCAAAGATCGAACGGGGAGATTCATCGTCAGCGGCCTGGCTTCGCGCGGTCGGCATGTCCCGCGGAGTCCTGCGGCCTCGCGCGCGCTGCGTGGGCACGCTACCGTGCGCCGATGTCCGCGCTCGTCGTCGTGCACTTCTCCCCAAGTAGAACGTCGCGACCCGTGGGTGTCGGTCTACGGCCCGGGTGCGGTGTCTGTCGCGTCGCCGGTAAAACGGCACGCGACAACCCTCGGTCGCCCGGCCGGCTGCTCGGCGGTACGCGCAAGGTATCAGGCCGCACTATTCACGGTGCGTCGAGACCGTCGCAAGCGCGCGCCACGGTACTCGGAGGTTACGGACTTCGCGCCGTCCCCGGTCCTGGCCCGCTGTTGGTTACAGTACGGTACACCTTCGACAGCCTGCGAACGTCTCCAGCGGTCTCGCGGGAGACCGATAACGGTCGGCGACGCTACTGCTTGGGTACTCTTAGACCCGTCTGAAACACGGACCAAGGAGTCTAACATGTACGCGAGTCATTGGGACTTGTCGCGAGACCTAAAGGCGTAATGAAAGTGAAGGTCGGCCCTGGCCGTCGACCTAGGGAGGATGGGCCGCGTCGCGATGCGGCCTCGCACTCCCGGGCGTCTCGTTCTCATCGCGAGAAGAGGCGCACCCAGAGCGTACACGTTTGGGACCCGAAAGATGGTGAACTATGCCTGGTCAGGACGAGTCAGGGGAAACCCTGATGGAGGTCCGTGCGATTCTGACGTGCAAATCGATCGTCGGAACTGGGTATAGGGCGAAAGACTAATCGAACCATCTAGTAGCTGGTTCCCTCCGAAGTTTCCCTCAGGATAGCTGGCACTCGGCCGTTCCGCACGGAACGCGCGCGACTTCATCTTGGGAACGCGCGAGATCTCATCTGGTAAAGCGAATGATTCGAGGCCTTGGGGCCGAAACGACCTCAACCTATTCTCAAACTTTAAATGGGTGAGATCTCTGGCTTTCTTGAATTTAAAGCCACGAGCATCTTCGGATCAGAGTGCCAAGTGGGATTTTTGGTAAGCAGAACTGGCGCTGTGGGATGAACCAAACGCAGAGTTAAGGCGCCCAACTCGACGTCATGGGACACCATGAAGGCGTTGCCCTAGTAGCACAATTCATTGGCACAATATTGGTTAACAATATATACCCAAGTTTTAATATTGGCCATAGTATAATTTTCCATATTGGTCCAATATTGTAAAGTAGACGCTCTGTCACTTTAAACCAATATTAATTTTTAATATTAAACCAATATTAATTTTAATATTAGACCAATATATTTATTTCATCTTTAACCAAGATTCTTTATATATTTTTACATTGGCTACAAATAAATTTCCAATATTGTAAAATAGACAACTTTCTTTTTTTTAGCCAATATTAAATTGTATTATTAGCCCAATGCATTAATTTTCTTCTTCAATCAATCAATATATATTGTACATATACATATACATATTAATTCATCCCACTTCCCTAGCGAGTTGCTATAGAATATATATATATATATATATGTTACACATATATATGTAACATATATATATATATTTCTATATATTATATATTACACATTATATGTAATATATATATATATATATTTCTATAGCAACTCGCTAGGGAAGTGGGATGAATTAATGTATATGTATATGTATATGTACATATATTGATTGATTGAAGAAGAAAAGTTAATGCATTAGGATAATTATATAATTTAATATTGACTAAAAAAAGAAAGTTGTCTAGCTTATATTATTGATCAAAAATACAAATGTAGTCTTACTAAAATTTAAATAACTTATATAGATAGTAAAAAAAATCATGTATATGTTATATGTATAAGAAGTTTATTGTTCATAAACTTTTCAACTTTATCATTTTCAAAACTTGTTTTATTTTTTATACTTGTTCCATTTCTTATATATTTTTACATCGAATAATATATAATACTAGACTTATAATATGTAATATTTATAAGAATAAATGCTAATATTTTATATTAAAATAAAAATAAAATTGCATATAATTGCACATGAGTATAAAATGAACGCGCGAATAAAGTTTTAATAAGACAAAATTAATCAAATATTTCTTACTTTTACTTTTACTTTTTTATCGAATAACATACATTTTTTATTATATATGTATATTCGATATATATTTTCTTTAAAAATAACTTTATATTATTATATATATATAATAGCATAAAAATAAAATTGCATATGAATAAATTTAAACAAAATAAATTTCTTTTATACTTAATGTACTCTGGTAATTTTTTGTAATTTTTGGTAATTATGAAAGAAAAAACCTAATTTGTAGATTTCGAAAATCTTTCTTTTCTTCCTCCTTCTCTGTCTCCACTTTCTGCAAGGAATTTTGATATTTTTTGCAAAATTTCATTTCTGGATACATTTGGTATTTTTTTCGACACAACCTCTAGAAACAAAAAAATTTATAAACAAGCTTATTATTTTAAATTAGTAATAAACAATATGTATAATTTTATTAGTCCAAGTTTAGTTTTTAAATCGTTATTAAATTTATTATAATTTATGAAATTATACTGAAGTTATGCTTTAATACTAAATATTAAAAATAAAAGAAATATTCTAAAATTTAATTTTACAATATCAATGCAAGTAATATATTTAAAACAAATATTTAAAATATTTAAAACAGTTTGATATATGTATAATTATATATTTAAACAAAAATTAAAGAAGTGTGTATATATATATATATATATATATTGTATTGCCTTTTTTATAACATTTGACAAACTTCTTAAATGTTATTAGTTACTTTAGATATTTTTAAAAATATTTTTACTAACAAAATATAACTTACCAAATACTGCAGCAGCAACCTTAGTTGCAGAAAAATCACGTTTTTTTGTTTTCCGGAACCACTGAAATGCATGGAAACAGTCTTCTTCATAAGTAATTTCATTACTGATGGCACTAATGCCTTTACAGTTTCTCCTGAACCAAGGTTGAGATATTTTATCTAAAAGTTAAAACAGTTGCTTATATATAACAAACATATTTATTCAATTTGCTAAATTATTTCAATTACAAATTCTCCCAGGTAAATTGTATTATATAGCTCTTTTTTTGTTTTTAAATATTACATTTTTAAAATAACAAGTTTTTTTGTGCTTATTTCTTTCTTTAACGCTAAATGTAATGTAATATAAAAATCTTGTATAATGTAAAACATGCTATTTTCCAAAAACATTGTGAAATTAATGAAAAAGATATTTTTTATTTTTTATATTCTTACCAAAGATATAAAGTTTTCTTCAGAATTTTTCAAACCTTGATCAATTTCATCAAAGGACTCCATGGAACAAATCGGAAGAAGGTGACTAAATGTGTTTATGACACTATTATCATTGTGTGTCAATAGAGTATCTAATTTTACTTTTATTTCTTGTTGTCCCTTTTTCAATGCAACTGTTTCAAATCTAACTTCTTCCATTAATTTAAAAATTTTTCTCAGAAATAAATATTTTTATCGGCTCTCAATATAAATAATATAAGTATGCTGTCTTCTAAGCTGGGCAATAGAGCCAAAACGAAACGAAAAATTAATTAAACGGAACTGTATCTCAATTTGAGATCCCAAAGTTCCACATATAAATTAATTTCGAAACTTACATATGGAGAAATAAGCGAGAAAAATATAGGTCGAAAAGTCGCTGAAGCGGGAATTACTTATATTATTTATATTGAGAGCCGATAAAAATATTTATTTCTGAGTTTATTCACGCCTTGGGCTAATCACGGCGGTATTACTAACATCTACTAAAAAGGCAAATGAAAAATATAGGATCGAAAGGGTCTGAATAGCTTAGTTGTAAGAGCAGTCGCCCGGAAAGTGAAAGACGCGGGTTCGTTCCCGCTTCAGCGACTTTTCGGACCTATATTTTCTCGCTTATTTCTCCATATGTAAGTTTCGAAATTAATTTATATGTGGAACTTTGGGATCTCAAATTGAGATACAGTTCCGTTTAATTAATTTTTCGTTTCGTTTCCTTGGCTCTATTGCCCAGCTTAGAAGACAGCATACTTATATTATTAAAAATTTTTGTTAAAATGCCTGAAAATCGATTAAAAATTATATAAAAGTTATATTTGTATTAATAAAATTAACTAAATTATAAGTACCATTTTTTCTTAAATTAAAATATGGCAGTAATAGAATTTTACCTTCTTTAATTTGTTGAATGTTTTTTGATTTTTCTACTTCGCTTCTTTGGATGGTTGTATTACTTTTATTGGATAATACAGGATCAGCTTGAGAATCTCTTTGTAAATTTAACTCATTATCAGGAAAAGATGGAACATTAGGACGTTTATCTGAATTTACTGTACACTGATTTCCTGAAGCTAGATCATCTTCTTCATTGGAAGAACTATTTAGATTTTGATATGAAATCTTCTTTGACTTTTCTGCTTCATCTCTTTGGATGCTTTTATTTTTATTGGATTTAGGACCTTTCTCTGAATTTATTTTATACTGATTTTTTGAAGCTAAAGCATCATCTTCATCATCTTCATCAGACAAATTGTGATGTTTATGTTGGGATTTCTTCTGTCGTGTATTTGTTGTATCAGAAGTAGAGTCATCACTACTACTTAACTGAGACGTATCTTGTGCTCTTTCCGCTTTTTTCATGGCTTCAGTTAAATTATCTATAAAAAGGAATGTATATAGACAAAAAAAGTAGACAAAAAATATGAAAAATTGAATTAATATTTTTTTATCATAATTTTCTATGAAAATTTGCATATTTTTATATATCAACACATTCTTATAATAAAATATTTTATTTTTAAATTATTTCATTTCAATATTATATTAGTTTGATAACTTTTATTCATTTATCTTGTATTATAACATATAAGTATGTATAATAAAACAGCTTAATAGAAAAGTGACTATGACAATGAAAATATAAAAAATCAATACCTGCATGTCCTAAAACTCTTATATGTACAGAAGTCCAATCATCATTGGGCTGAGTATTATTTTTCAAATATTTCTTTAGAATGGCAGGAGATATAGTATTGGGCCATAATGTAGTTTTTTTATCAAATGATATCCAAGAAGAAGGAATAATTTCAACGGTATTTTCATCATTAAATTCAACTATGGAATATTTTTGCATCTGCATACAGAGATGTTTACATATATATTTTGATAATTATTTTCTTGCTTTGTTTTTCAGACCAATTGTCTTATTATTATATTCAAGATTCATCAAATGTATCAAATTCTAACAGAAATAATTCTATAAACGTTTTAAAATGTTTGTATATATGTATATATTGTATGTATATACACACACAGACACATATATATATATATATATATATATATATATATAATGTGTCTGTGTGTATATATATATATATATAATGTGTGTGTGTATATATATATATATATATATATATATATATATATATACATTAATATAAAAATTTTATATGAAAAGAGACATAAATATTATCTTAATTAAATTTATACAGTAATTGTGTGTAAAAGAGGATATCCAATATGTGAAATGTTATCTTTAAATACAATGCATTTAGCTTCTATTTCTGATAATTTAATTACTTTAAATGTGTTTTCCAATTTATACATTCTATATATTTTTAACTTTTGAGATTCACAAGGATAACTAAAGTAATTGCAATATTTTGTAAATTGCTTACAAATTAAATCGACACAGTGTATTTCTTGTGCATTTTTAAGAATAATATTATAAATTTGCACAACTTTTCCATTTTTTAACAACGCATAACGATCAGCTTTACGATAAGTGACAAAGTGATATTTATGAATAATTATCTCTTTATACTGACTTATAGAGTTTTCTGTGTCAGCAATAAGTGGTCCACATTCATGTTTATGTTTCAACTCCCAATTAGAAGTATATTTTACAGAAATGGAAGCACTTTCAGAAAGTCGTCGTGATAACTGTGATAAAGGTTTTTTTCCACCCCGAAGACATCTTTTTATTTTCCCAAGTAAATTTTCAAAGTCAAATGCACTTATATCATCTAAAGGCTTCTTAAAATTTCTAACATCATCTGTAAGATGAATCAAATTATGGATATTGTAAATTTTAGAATTTGGCCCGTAAAACTCATCAAAAGTTCTAACAAATTCTATTAGTAAAGCTTGTGAATAATTACATAATTGAATTGCTAAATTTGGATGTGAAAGGATAAATGCGGCTGTATGAAGAATCTTAAAATGTTCTATATGCTTATTTGAAATAATTCCGTTTAAAACAAAAAATCCAGTGTACAAAAGAAACTGACGTAATTCAGTCGCCTTCCATTTTTTAACTTTATTTATACTTTGTGGTTTTCTTGCAAAATCTGTTGGAATGTATTTGTGTAATAATGTTAATCTTTCGGATAAGAGACTGACTTTTCTTGCATCTAATTTGCAAAAATAATTATTTCCCTGTATCATTTGAAAAAGCATTCTTCTCATAACTCCTAAATAGAGTAGATGCATTGGATCCAGTATAAATTTAGTAACCATAGAAAAATTAATTTCCGCTAAAGGAGAAATACCATTATGGTGTTCTATCTGTGTTTGTAGCAAGAAATTCTGATCTGTTCTTTTTTCAGCATCAATTTTATTAAATAATGTTGCACCAAATGGATGTGATCCTTTTTGAATACACCTTTCGCAACCATAGAAACCATTATGTCCTTTAATTACTTTAAGATACGCTCTAGCAGGTGCATCACAAATAAAGCCTGAAATTGTAACTGAATATTGTTTTTCATCGATAATTATACCAACATCACAAAGATTCTCATATTCTTGTATAAAATCTTTTAAATATTCGTGTACATCTGGAGGTTTAGATTGCCCACAATATACACCAACGATAAAAGGATCAAGTTTATTATACACTGATTGATCTATCTTGCAAAGTATTGGCCAAAATTGAATTGATGAAGAATTAGCTAATGGCAATCCATCAATATTCACAAATAAATTTATTTCTTTTAGTGATTTTAATAAGGGTTCTTTTAAAAACAAATTTTTTAAATTATTGGCAATGCCAAAATAACAATATTTTCCATCAAACATATCAAAAACGGAACTACTTCTTGGTGTCTTTAATAAAGTTCTAGCATCTGAAAATGCAATAAGATTATGTTTTTGTAATGTACGTAAAAGGGAATTTAAAGCTGAGTGAGAGATTTTGTATTCAAGAGCCCACTGGGCAAGATTACTTGTTAGATCAGATTTAATACTTTCTATAGAATTTATTAACACATTAAAATTATTGTGAATAGAAAATTCTGTAATATTATTGTCATTAGAATTTTCTTCATCAAAATCTTCAAATAAATGATATTCGATAGAAGAACATACGCTGTCAGTTTCATTATTAATATTACAATTAGAATTTATATTTTTATCTTCATTTGTTAACGAATCATAAGAAAATTCATAATTATTAAATTGCTGACAATACTCAGATAAGTCAGAATTAACAGATTCTTTAGAATATTCTGAATTGCTCAATACTTCAATACTATTTGTTTCAATATCCTCTTTTTCAATTGTCGCAAGATGCTTTTTAACTCGTTCATTTATTGTTTTCCATTTAGTACGTCTCTTTGAAGACATTGCAATTAAATTCTATGTATGCGTGGTTAAAAAATATATTTATATTTTATATATGTATATGATTTCATTAAATCTATATGTCTAAAAATATGAATTTATTTTTATATATACTTTTTATATATCTATATATAATCTCTGTATGTATGCAATGGAATGGATATAAAAATAAATACAAAAATATTTTTAGAGGATAGGATTGAAATAGATATCAAGGAAAACAGCACATTAATCTGCAAAATATGATTTGAAAAATGAGCTATTGAGTGTATAGTGCAAGAGGGAGAAAATAATAAATCCTATAACAAGGAGTAAAAAAGATTAAAAAAGATTTTTACCTTGGCTGTAAGATAACTTCTTTTCTACTTTCTCGTACGCAAATGTGAAAATTTGATGTTAAAACTCAAAGTAGCCTTTTTCGTAATTATATTTTGCTTCGTCGTATGCGAACGAACAACTGCTGAGATTTTGCTGGAAAATAAAGACCTTGTAAAATAATAGTTATAAACAATTTTACAATCTAAAGAAATTCTTTAAAAATAGTTACATGTAGCTATTTTAATAAAAAAACTAACCTTTCGTTCTTCGTGCACGTGTTTCTTTTCTTTTTTTTATTCTTATAAAAAATATTCAAGACTGCATGTTCATATACTAATTGAACAAATAAATGCTTTGCTAGCATACAAATTTTAATTCGAACGAAAAATGTAACGATAATAACGTACACAAATACGTTTACTTCTGTTTAAGGCAGCAGTGAACATACCACGCACTGGTATCAGGTTAAGTAACTTATGGCGGCATGAAGCACATGGCACAAAGCAACAATTTTATAATCTAAAGAAGTTGTACATACATTTATATTTATATTAAGATATGAATAAAGTACAAAAGAAATTCTTTAAAAATAGTTAGATGTAGCTATTTTAATAAAAAAATACTAACCTTTGTCGTTCTTCATGCACGTGTTCTTTTTCTTCTTTTTATTCTTGTAAAGAATATTCAAGAATGAAAATCTCTCCTCCAATTTTAAAGTCGACCAGACTGGCAATAATTTATTTAAAAAATTAGTTAAATTACAACGTTTCGGCTGTCATTGCAGCCCTTTTCAAGTAATCTATGAACAATTATATACATATAAATATACTCTTAATGCGCTTAATCATACAAATAATTATAAATTTACAAAAATATATATGTTTACGTACCAGATTAATACAATAAATCAAATTTACAGCAAACCCCCGACAAAATTAACCATTGTTTTGTTGAACAATGTATAACTGACAGAAGTGAGCACGAAAAAATAGATGTTGACTGTTAGCAGAAAACTTAGTCACTAACGCGTTGAGAAAATAGAAAACCAGAGTACTGTGTCTTTCGCAATTTTTTAAAACGTCAATACAAAGTCAAATAAATAAATAAATAAATAAATAAATAAATAAATATGTAACATATGACAATATAATATATTAAATAGCTTCAAGAACGCGATCATAAATCCCACTGAAATTCTCCGTATCTTTTTGTAAATTAATGCTTTTCTTTGGTTTTTTATATAGAACATTTCTGCTATTTCTCTTTTTCTCGTTTGTTTTTCTTGATGCAGAATCACAGGAGAATCCCAACGGAACTCATGATCGTTGCAAGTCCGATGCAAACTAACAACTGAGTGTGATGTCGTGTCTTTTTTGATGTTATTTTTATGTTCCTTAATACGTGTTTCTAAATGTCGCTTTGTTTGTCCAATATATGTAGAGTCACAGTTCGCGCATTCGATCTTATAAACGACATCGGTTCTTTTTAAGTTGTCAATACTATCTTTTCCTCTTTTTATCAATGTGTCTAATTTTTTAGGAACGGTATATAATACACCGATTCCATTTTTGTTTATGCAACGAGTAATATTTTCGCTCAAACCTCTAATATACGGCAACGCTATAGCATTTCGTGTATCAAATTTATCTCGATTAGACGCACCAAAATTACCGCCAAATTTAATCGCCCTAAGTCTCCTGTTAATAATTTTGTTTATGACTGTTGACGGGTAACAATTGTTACGAAGAATTCGTTTGACTAAGATGATGTTTTTCTCGTGAAACATAGGGTCCGCGAGTAAAATAGCCCTGTCCACGAGGCTTGTGATCACACTAATTTTATAACGCATCGGATGGTTCGAAAGAAAATTTATATAACGGCCTGAAAACGTAGGCTTACGGAACCAGTCAGTCGTCAATTTGCCATTAACTCGTATAACGTTTGTGTCTAAAAAACTTAAGGAACAATTGTTCTCCAATTCAAACGTAAACCTTAGTCGAGTGTGAAAGCTATTAAAAATCGTAAGCATATCCTCCACTTTACATTTCGGAATAATTGAAAAAATGTCATCAACATATCTGAAATAACAATAGGGCTCAAAATCCAATTGACGCAAACAATATGATTCCAAATCGTCCATAACCATATCAGACAAAATTGGAGACAAAGGAGACCCCATAGGCGAACCGAAAACCTGCTCGTAAAATTTTCCATCAAAAACAAAACTAGTCGAGCGCATAACCGTGTCAATAGCATGTAAAAACTGTGCCATGTTAAATGAAGTAAATTGTGAGATATCATCCCAACGATTTTCTATTGCTGCTTTTATTAATTCCCACGGTGTGTTAGTAAAAAGCGAAG